GAGTGAGAGTGAGAGTGAGAGAGAGAGATAGGAGGAGAAAGAGATATAAAAGGGGAGAGATATGGGAGAAGGAGAGGAAAGAGGAAAAGAGAAAGGGAGAAAGAGAAATAGAAATAAAAGGAGAGAGAAAAATATATTTTTTTTTTGTTTTATAAAAAGGATATTGTAATCATTTTATATATAAAAAAAATTTTCCCACTAACTCAAAAAAGTTGGATTCCTACCCCATAAGAATGTTTTTATGAAAAAATAAAATAAAAATAATTTTAGAGAAACTACATTCCTAATTTTTCTTTTAAAAAGAATAGGTATCAAATATGGAAAACCAAAATTTCTGATTTAAAATTATCAGAAAAGTTAAAATATTTCATATACCAAACATCATTATAAAGATACATTCCTAAAATTTTAAACAATTCAAGTTTTAAACTAACTAATAACATCCTAGACTACAAAGATGGTTGACTCAATTTTAAATTATATAAATATAATCTAAACTACCAACATAATATAGAACTTTAAATTATATAGATTTGATATGTGCATTAAGAACTTTAAATTCAACAGTTGGATCGTTAAGATTTAATATATAGTATGAGTTATTTAATGGAATAAGTTTAGATAAACTTACTCCTAAAGTAAACGGATTCCTCCTATATATATATATATATATAGAAAGAGAGAGAGAGAGAGGAGGATTCCAACGACACTAGTGTAACTTTTACTAAGTGTTACACCGCTCAATAACTTTATATTAAATGTGAATTTTGAAAATTCAACCGTTAGATTGAAATTTCATATCTCTTAGATCATATATATCAAATTTTATATTAATCTAAGATGATTTGATACTTCATTCTCATAAAACAAAATTGACGTAATATATACATTTCAAAATATATACTAAAATATGAATACTTTGATTACCTTCAAGTTGTTGTTCAAAACAATTTTAGGATAATACAAAAATAAACCAATTTTTTTTATAAATAAAATCAAACATTCTACAATAGTTATGCCATAATTGATGTCTCTACAAAAATTAAATTATATATATACAGAGGGGGGTTATAATTACACCGGTGTAACTTTTACTAAGTGTTACATCTTTCAATAACTTTATATTAAATATGAATTTTGTAAATTCAACCGTTAGATTAAAAGTTCATATCACCGGTGTAATTATAACCCCCTCTGTATATATATAATTTAATTTTTGTAGAGACATCAATTATGGCATAACTATTGTAAAATGTTTGATTTTATTTATAAAAAAAATTGGTTTATTTTTGTATTATCCTAAATCTAACACTAGATTCCAGGCAAACATAGACAATAACCCTTCATTTCAATGATGCAAAATCACCAAAATATTAACTCCATAATATCATTTACGTTAAAGAAATTTTTCGTAGGTAAGAATGATTTTTAGGAAATACAAATTAGGAAATATGATTCTTCAAAATAATTAAAATATATTTAATTATTTATAAAAGTTTTTAAGAATATTTATACAAGATTTTTTGAAATTGAAGATTTTTATATTTAATTGCAATAGTATATTCATGAATATGTAAATATTTTTTTTTATAAAAATACCATTTATTAAAATAAAACTCATTAGATATATTTATTTACTCAAATCTTATTACAAATATGATATTAAACTATTTTTAAAATCTAAAAAATTATTTAAATATAAAATTCGACAAAAAAATAAAAAAAAATTCTACATTATAATTAAGAAGAATAAAAATATATTATTTTATTTCATTCAAATAAAAAAATGTTAACATATACCATTAAAATGTAGAAACAAAATAGATTGTAATAATATTATTAAAATTAATAAGATCGTCAATGTCAAAAAATAATAAGATGTAAAAAAGATAAAGCTAGAGAGAGAGAGAAATAGATATATGGGAGGGAGAGAGAGAAGGGCGAATAACGAGGGGCAGAGAAAGGGAGAAAAGAGGAGAGGAGGTATAAGAGTGAGAGAGATAGAGGGAACAAGAAAAATAAAAGGAGAGAGAGAAATAGAAGGAGAGAAAAAAAAATAATTTACAAAAAAAGATATTGTAATCCTTTTATATATATAAAACTTTTCTTCTAACTTAAAAAAGTTAAATTCTTACTTTTCATTGAGAATTTTTTGTAGAAATATGAAATAAAAATGATTTTAGAGAAATTATATTCCTAACTTTTTTAAAATAACTACTGAACATGGAAAACTCAAATTCTTAATTTAAAATTTCAAAAAAAGTAAAAATATCCTGCGTACCAAACATCTCCTAAAAATAACAAAGATACATTTCTAAAATTTTAAAACGACTCAAGTTCTAAACTAACTAATAATATCCTAAACTACAAAGATGCTTAAGTCAATTTTAAACTATATAAATGTAATCTAAGCTACGTACACTAGCTAAAAAATTTAACTTTGAGTAATCTCAAAGAAAAATCTTGTCCATAATCATATTATTTAATCAATATCCTATTGAACTAGTGGTGATTTGTGTAAATTATTAATAAATAATATTAATTACATCATGTTTTTGTAAAATTAAAATTGATATTGTTATCTCATGAACCAATTATGATAGTTTCAACAATGGTAAACATGTTTTTTTTTTTTTATCATTCAGAAAAGTACAAGAAATAAATCCACATTAACTTCTAATAATAGCAATGTATATGCCGTCTGCCATTAATAAATGAAAAATATGTGTTTCATGATATAATAACTACACTCATATTTTCTATGTTACTTATGAAACTATATAACTGAATATTACAATTTTCTTATATGACATCATGTGCAATAAGGCTAAGTTTTAATACAAAGGTGCCTAGTTTTTCTATACACGGTACCTAATTAACTAAATTAAATATAATAAAATTAATTACTAATATATATATATATATGTTTGACTTAATTTGTGGTTGATTTGCATATTAGTATATATATATATATATACTAATATGCAAAAGCTAAGTTACTAATTAATTTACTATAGCCTAATTAATTTTCAATTTAGCAATGAAACAAATCAACCACAAATTAAGTCAAACAAATCACAATCAGTAATTCAACAACATTGAATTGAAATAGCAAAAGATTTAGATGCTAAGAGCATTTTCAATGAGGGTTACTTATAAGCAACTTCCTGTGTCACATCATGTTACATCAGCTATTTTTCATTTTATGGGTTGCTTAAATTTTAGCAAGCTTCTACAAGCAACTTTGCTAAAATTTAAGCAACCCATAAAGTAGAAAAGAGCTGATGTGGCATGATGTGCCACAGAGGGTTGCTTATAAGCAACCCCCATTGCAGATGCTCTAAGAATGAGAGGAAGAACTATTTACTTATAAAAATATCATTTATTAAAATAAAACTCATTAAATATTTTTGTTTGCTCAAATTTTATTATAAATATGACATTAACTTATTTTAAAAAATTGAAAACTTATTAAAATTATTTAAATATAAAATTCAACAAAAAATTTAAAAAATATTATATTATAATTAAGAAGAATAAAAATATATTATTTTATTTCATGTAAATAAAAAATAAAAAATAAAAAATATTAACAAATATCATAAAAATGTATAAACAAAATAGATTGTAATAATATTATTGAAATTGATAAGGTTAATAAATAGTGAGATATAAAAGAGAAAGAAAGAGAAAGAGAAATAGAGATATGAGAGGGAGGGGGGAGAATTAGAGCATCTGCAATGGGGGTTGCGTATAAGCAATCCCTTGTGCCACATCATTGCCACATCAACTTTGCCTCACTTTATGGGTTGCTTAAATTTTAGCAAAGTTGCTTGTAGAAGCAATTTTGCTAAAATTTAAGCAACCTATAAAGTGGGCCAGAACTGATTTGACAGTGATGTGGTACAAGAGGTTGCTTATAAGCAACCCCATTGGAAATGCTCTTAGGGAGAGAGAAAGAGAGAAAGAGTGAGAGTGAGAGAGACAGGAGGAATAGGAGAAGTAAAAGGGGAGAGATAGGGGGAGAAGGAGAAAGAGAAGAGAGGAAAGAGAAAAAAGAGAGGGAGAAAGAGAAATAAAGATATTTTTTGTTTTAAAAAATGGATATTGTAATTTTTTATATATAAAAAACTTTTCTCTGAATTCAAAAAAGTTAGATTCCTACCCATAAAAATATTTTTATGAAAAAATAAAAAATAAAAAATAAAAATAATTTTAGAGAAACTATATTCCTAATTTTATTTTATAAAAACATAATAAGTATCAAATATGAGAAACAAAAATTTATTATTTAAGATTGTTAAAAAAGTTAAAATATTTCATATACCAAACATCACTATAAAGATACATTCCTAAAATTTTAAACAATTCAAATTTTAAACTAACTAATAAGACTACAAAGATGACCAACTCAATTTTAAATTATATAAATGTAATCTAAACTACCAACATAAAATATAAACTACACTAACTAAATAAAAATTTAACTGTGTGTAATCTCAAAGAAAAATCTTGTAATAATTATCTTATTTAATCAATGTCCTATTGAAGGCAATAGTGATTTGTGTAAATTATTAACTAATAATATTAGATCATGTTTTGTAATAAAATTAAAATTGATATTGTTATTTAAAATCAAAATATTATCTTATCTTATCTAATGAACTATGCTTACATCAACAATGATTAACATATATTTTTCTTTTTATCATTCAGAAAAGTACAAGAAGAAATAAACCCACACAAATTTCTAATAAAATATGAAGAACAAAAATAAAAAATAAAAAATATATTTAAATATTAGTTATAATAATTAGTCTGATATATCAATTTGTTTTTAAAAATAAATAAGTGGTCTTTATTATTTGTTTATTCATTCATTCAATATTAAACAAGAGAAGCTGGGAAATTCTAGATTTTTTTGTTTTAGTCTTTTTCTTAAATAGCTGTAGTAGCATATGGGTGCTAATAGGCATTGAAGTTGAAGGTGTTGTCATTATGGTTGTGACGCCTGTCCCAACCCCAACCTGCCACTCTATAAAACCTTTTCCACCCCAAAGCACCTCACACACCGACACCCTTTTCAGTTTCACAACACTATATATCACTATCTCCAATCCATTGCCATTCCACCTCTTCCCTCTTTTTGCTGTCTCCAAATTCACTTCCTCCACCACCATGCAACCTATTCTCATTTTTTTAGACTCTTTCCACTCCCTTCTCACCATCACTTCCCTGCTTTTCACTTCTTTCTTCCTTCTCCTCATCCCTTTCCTCCAATGGTGGCACCACCACAAACACAAAAAATTGCCCCCTGGCTCCATGGGTTGGCCCTACCTAGGGGAGACCCTCAAGCTCTACACTGAAAACCCAAATTCCTTCTTCTCTAACAGGCAAAAACGGTATCATATAACATTACTCATGCATGTGAAGTCAATATGTGTATATATATGTCATATGAACTATATAGCTACTAAAGTTAAAAGTTGGTCTACTAGTGAAAGTTGAGATAACATATATAAAGTTGTAAAACAATTTAAGTATAAATTAATTGACATTCATGTATGAAATTAAGGTGCATTTGTGTAGGTATGGAGATATATTCAAGACAAACATATTGGGTTGTCCTTGTGTGATGATATCAAGTCCTGAGGCAGCAAGAACTGTGCTTGTGACTGAAGCACATCTCTTCAAGCCAACATACCCTCCAAGCAAAGAGAAGTTGATAGGACCTGAGGCTGTCTTCTTTCAACAAGGTGCCTACCACTCCATGCTCAAGAGGCTGGTTCAGGCCTCCTTTCTACCCTCCACAATTAAACACTCAGTCTCTGAGGTCGAGAAAATTGTCACCAAAATGGTGCCAACTTGGGCCAACACAACCATCAACACCTTGCAAGAGATGAAAAAGGCAAGTTGCATTTCATTTCATCCACACATATGTCGGTTATAGCTCTCTAAATTATCCACATCTTATTATTCTATTCAGACTCATATATGCTACTTAAGCATCTACTCCATCTTAGTTGGAGTAGGTGAGTAGGTGGAAACATGAAACAAATGAAAAAAAAAACAAATTCACAGTTTCAGTTCTTCTATTAATATAATCATATATAAACTATACAATATAATTTTCGTCATACAAATTTTAATTTTACCTTAAAAATATGCTCGACTTGTCTCAAAAGACAAGGATTGAACTTGCTTATATATATTGTCTAAGTTAAGCATCATTTTAGTTGAAGTAGGTGAAAAAAATGAAAACAAAAAAATGAAAAATTTAGATTCCATGTCTATTATTAATTAAATGATTTATATATAAAAGTGAGAGAAAATTGTCTTAATTTTTTTTTTTTTTTTGTTGTGTTGATTAGTATGCTTTTGAAGTGGCTGCAATCTCTGCCTTTGGTGAAATAAAGGAGATCGAAATGGAAGAAATCAGAGAGCTGTATCGATGCTTGGAGAAGGGCTACAACTCTTATCCATTGCATCTCCCTGGAACTGCCTATTGGCACGCAATGAAGGTCTATTTTTCATCTTTTTCTTTTATATTTTTTCCCCTGTTTTGCGTACTTGGTACATTCATCATTATGTAACTTGGGACTAAATAATTATTGCAAATCGTTAGATAGTACGAATAATTTTGATACGAATTGATTACGAGAGATATTTTCCGTACAAATCATTATGAGAGAACGTGGCACTATTTTATGTAGTTAAATAATAAGTTTAAAGAATAAAGAAAACCTATGAATTGGGACAAAACACCACACGCTGGTTTCGTTGGGAAAAAAAATACTCTCTCCATCTTATAATAATTTCTGTTCAATATATTTTATGCAGACAAAAAAATATTAATAAATAAATATAATAATTTTATGAAATGAACTCTGCTATTATTATTTTTTCTTGGTTGAAAGTCGGATAATGATACAACATAGTAGCAACATTTTAAACAATTTTATTAGAGATATAAATGAAAATGTAATTGATATTAAATTAAAAATTAAAATGACATATTTTAAATTTTATTTTTCTATTTATGTATTAGGTATAACCCTATTTAGAATTTGAGGATTTTGGTATTTTTTTATCCAAGAAAATCTATTGGTCTAATAGTTATAAAACTTCTCCTATTCTCAACTTTTCTAGGATCCGTACTTTCAATCTTAACTTTCTATCAACATAAAAATAATGTTTGATTAGTAAAATTCACACTTAATCAGTTGTTAAACACTATGTAGATCATATTTTTAAATAAAAAATATTTATTTTTATTATTTTTTTCTTTCTTTTGTTGCTTTTATATTTTGAATAATAATGAAAATATGATTGAACTTAATAGGCCTTTCAAAGGAATTATTTTCACTTCATCTATAGCAAAATCCTGAAACTTTTGTGGGTGTCATATATAACAAGTCCTTTATTTTGAATCATTCTTAACTTAGATACATAATGAAAGTGATAATAAATAAATGATATGAATTAGGCAAGGAAGCATCTGAATGAGAGCATAAGGAGGATAATAGAGAGAAGGAAAGAAAGTTCAGAGAGTGGAGGGGGGCTATTGGGAGTTCTATTGGAAGCAAGAGGTGAGAAGAAAAAGAAGATGTGTGAGCTGAGTGATTCTCAAGTTGCTGATAACCTCATTGGTGTCATATTTGCTGCACATGACACCACAGCTAGTGCTCTTACATGGGTCCTCAAATATTTACACGACAACACCAATCTTTTGGAAGCTGTCACGGTCACACTCTTCCATTTTTTTCTCTCTCTCATTATACTGTGTTGCTTAATTAATTTCTCATCTTATTCTTTTTATTTTAATAATTTGCAGAAAGAACAAGAAGGAATCAGAAACAAACTAGCTATGCAGAATCGTGGACTCTCCTGGGATGATACTAGGCAGATGCCCTTCACTACCCGGGTATGTATATTAATTAATTCTTCTTCTTTTTTTAAAAAAAAATAAAAAAAATTATGTGTATAAGTTGGTTTTGGTCAACATCAAATTATTGACAAATAATGTCATCGATTTTGTCCACTAAAATTCACTTGGAAGACATTAATTGACATTGACAAATTTGATGTTACTATAAACAGGAAATTAAATGATATTATTATACCCTTTCCATTTCTTTCATTTGTCTTTTTTCATAGAAAACTACTAATTATTATTATTTTTAATTATACCTTCATTTTTATCTAATTCTTGAGTACTTTATATATTTATTGTAAATAAAATAAATAAATAAAAACAGTTGTGGTGAATGGAGATTATATTATAAAATTAATTCAAAATAACTTTGATATGAAAGACTTTATAATACTTTGAATCATGGGAAATTCAGTTAAATACTAATGAAATAATTGTAATAGAACTAAAATGTGATTCAGGTGATCCAAGAAACACTGAGAAGTGCAAGCATTTTGTCATTCACATTCAGAGAAGCAGTAACAGATGTTGAGTTGGAAGGTTACACTATTCCAAAAGGTTGGAAGGTCCTTCCTCTCTTCAGAAGCATTCACCATTCTGCTCACTTCTTCCCTCACCCAGACAAGTTTGACCCTTCAAGATTCGAGGTAATTCAAATATTATTATATGATTACAATACATGTAAAGTAAAAGATTTGAAGACCATGGTTTATATATTTTATCTTTTATGTGAGAAACATAAGGTTATGAGTGGATAGATTATATCCTTGTGTAAAGTCCCTTTCACTACCTATTTGAATCTTCCCCTTACAAGGCAGTATCAGAGGCACGTGATCCATATTTGTAGGGTAGCATCAGGAAAAGTAATTAATTAATTTCTCTGTATATACTTTATGTTCAATGTACGTCATATATGGTACTAGGAGATGAAAGAAATAATGGATATGGGGTTGACTTAGTTTATATATGCATGTGATGTGTGATGGTGCAGGTGCCACCGAGACCAAACACTTACATGCCTTTTGGAAATGGTGTCCACTCTTGTCCAGGCAGTGAGCTGGCTAAGCTTGAGCTTCTTGTCCTTCTTCATCATCTCACCATTTCTTACAGGTATCTTCAATTTCTTTCCTTTTCAACAACCCTCACATTATCATTCATTATATACATATATATATACTTGTCCCAACATCACCAAATAATGATATAAACAAAACTTTAACTAATTAAGTTTAAACAATCAATTATATCTTACATATACTCAATTTGCTTCATATACTTAAAAATTTACTATTTTGGTCTTTATGCACATTATCATTCATATATAGTGCATTCTTAATTTAATCTTAGAAATAAAAAATATGTTTTTAGTCCCTTTAAAATTTATGAAATTTAGTTTCATTTCCTTTTTTTTTTTGAATTATTTTAGTCCAAATAGTTTAAAAATGTATCATTTTTAATTCTTAAAGTGGTTTAAATATAACATTTAAAAATGGTTATAAAATATTATCAAAACAACTTTGAAGATGAAAAATGGTATATTTTTATATTAATTAGAGGAACCAAAATATAACAATTTTTTTTTGAGAGATTAAAACTAAAATTTTAAAGGATTAAAAATATATTTTACTATTTAATCTTTATATATATGTAGAGGCCAAATAAAAAATGTATGTATAAGGATGACCAAATTAAGAATAATGGATTAATGTTAACATAATTAAACAATAATATTTACATGTATAAGTATAAATTTAATAAGTTTTCATGTGTTAGAAATGAAATTGAGAATATGTAACGCATACATTATAACTAACTAACCTTTTTGATGTGGCCCAATATATAACACTTTTCCATTTATAGAGTGTATTAGAACCAAACAAAACAATTAGTAAATAGTGTTGCATGATGAACTTTTTGCAAAATTAGTTTGTCATGTACGATAGAGATCTGTGGATTGACCATTAGAAGGTCATGGTGGTCCTAATTAGTGCCTGCATGTTCCTTAAGATGTGGAAGTGGTCCTTTTTGACGCATTAAAAAGGGTTTCTTTTAGAACGTAGCTAGTGAACAAGTATATGTATTTCAATACGTATACGTGGCACACATGCATGGTATTGTCGCCAAACGTATTCATAAGACTCTTGCACATGTAATTCCCTAACTTGTCATCTTCCTATCCACAGACTATTAAAGAAACTTCTTGCCAAATATAAATAAATATGCACCAATAATTAACTACAATTAATAACTTAATTTGAAGATATTACAAATTATAATACTTAGAAATTTGTACTTTCTTTAGGAAATTAGAAAATTGTACTTCTCTTATTTAAAAATAAAATTAATTTAGTTTTTTAATCATGAAAATATATTAATATATATTTTTTTATCATGTAGTATTGAATTTAATTTAGTTTCTAAATGTGGTAGTTAGTACACAAAAGGCATTTTGCGGTTACTTTTTATAATTAAGAAAACTCTATTTATATAATTTTTAAAGAATCAAAATTGTTAGATTTACTCAAAGAAAAACCTTCTCTTTTCGTAGCCACTTAATCAATGAATGTGACTTTACATTGATCTTTATTACTATCTGGGCCAATCAGGATTAATTGTCCCTTTGTGTCCAAGGCAAACTTGGTCCAGAATTACTCTTTCTCAAAACTTCACATTCATAGGACACCTCAATCACAGAGTGGCACCTTAAAGGCTTAAACAAATTAAAGTAGACGTGCCTTTCCTTTTCTTATATAGAATGATCCCTACAATCATTAAAAATAAATAAATAAATAAAATAGAAGGAAAAAAAAAAAAAAAAAGGGGAGAAGTTATAAGTTTCATATGCATCCAATATGAGAATTTGTAATGGGAAATACAACATTCTTCAACCTAAAAAGTTTACACACATTGGAAATTTAATTTTGCAGAAGCTTTAACCTAACAGTTTAAATTTTAGAGAAGTCAATATTTGATGTCTTAGTTTGCATGTATTTTTGGTGGATGAAAATATTGTGGAGAGGTAATGGTCTGTTAGTGTTTTTTTATTATTAATGTAAAAAAAAAAAAAAATACAATGTACATTAATAAGGTTGAAATTTAAAATTTTTGTGTATATTACTCAAGTTCAAAATTTATTTTTTATTTTTCAGTCTGGTTTTTAAGTTTAACAATTTTATTTTTATCTCTTAAAAAGTGTTCTTAGTAACTAATTTGATATTTTCACCTATTTATTTATTTATTTATTTTTACTAACAGTATTAATTTTAATTGATGTGATATTTCTTATAGTTTACCACGTATTATTAACCAAATTAGTGTCATATATTAATGGAAAAATAACTGTCTAATAAAGACACTTTAAAGAACTAAAATGAATCTTGTTAAGAGACCAAATTAAAGTTAAAAACTAAAATAAACACTTTAAAGAACTTAAATGAAACTTGTTAAGAGACCAAATTAAAGTTAAAAACTAAAATAAACATCAAAATTTTATTTTAGCCTTTAAAAACATTTAAAGAGAGGTCTTGATCTTTAAGAAATTTTGTCTTATTCCACTCCTTTGAAATTCAGTTTTGTATGTGTAAACTAATTAACCTGTAATATAATGACCAAATTAGGAGAATTTCAGTCAAAACAATAAAATGAGAAGATATATACACATACCCATATAATCCAATGAAATTATTCCCTGATAATATGTATCTATCTTAAATCATTTGGCTTTTAATTAATTAATATGTAAATATATGCACATATTATTCATATATTGTATTTGTATATGAATGAATGACAATAAAATTAGTCCACGCAATTAACTTGGTTGATCAAATGAAAGCAACACATGTGGATTGCCAGGCCTGACAACGAAGACAAAGTCCATAATGTTAGCAGTCAAATTTCAAAATAACAAGTTTTACTTTGCACCACACGTACCTCTGCACAATTACACACCACATCATTTTTCACCTTCTCCTCATCACAGATATTAATTTAAATAATGTGACCCTGACCCACTTTACCCATTTTCCTCTTACATTCCAAACAAATGTAACTGCTAATTTGTTGGAGAATTACTGTTACAAAATTTAAATATGTTTTTAGTTTTTTAAATTTAAGATAAATTTATTTTTAATTTCTCAAATTTAGTCCCTATAATTTTTAAAAATTTTATTTTAATCTCTTAAATCATTAATAATATATTTAAAAGTGACTAATTAATATAATTATACAATATCAATTAAATTTAATGTAATATTTTTATTAATAAAAATATTAATAAGTAAATTTTATGTAATAATATTTAATAAATTTCTTAACAAAATTTAAATCTAAGAATTAAAATAATTTTTTTAAAATTATAAAAATTAAAAATAATAATTTTAAATTTAAGGACTAAAAAATAAATTTATTCTAAATTTAAAGGATTAAAAATATATTTAATCTATATTATAATATGATGTCTGTATATAAGTACCATCACATTGACAAGATGGATAAGATAGATGATGTCAATTTGATGGAAGGAAAACAGATAGTTATTGTAAAATCATAATCATAAAGTAAAAAAATTAAAATATATTAATATATATATAATAATGTTTTTAATAATGTAATGAGAAATAGGAAAAATATTATACTATTTTTTAATGCTAAAAAGGTTTAGATGATGAAAAATAATAATATATTTTTTAACACATTTTTAAGACTTTAAATTATTTCTTTAATATTGAAGCTATTCTAGAATGAAAAATATAAGTTTTATCTATTTTATATAATTAAAAAGATGTTTATTATTTATCTAAATATTAAATCTTGGATGTGAGGGAATATATTTCTCGTAACAACTAAAAATAAGTTAATCAAAAATATAAGGGAAAACAACTTTTTAATAAATTTTATTTATAATTTCATAATTTTTTTAAAAAAAATATGTCGGAATTACTTCTCTCATAATGTTATTTAATAAAGAATTGTCATCAATTATAAAATTATTAATTTTATAATAATTAATTTAAAAGTCATGTTTAATTGATTGAGTGTGAAAAATTTACATTAGCGATATACAAAATTAGACTCAATAAAATAAACAACATTTAAGTTTCTAATTTGTACTCATTATCGTTTTGATGGTTGCTTTCTTTAGGTGGCAAGTTGTGGGAAATGAAGATGGAATACAATATGGTCCTTTTCCTGTACCCAAACATGGATTACCAGTGAAGATAACCACGAGGAACAAGATATTTACGTGATCGAAGTTGCAAACTTAGACCTATGAATTCAGAACATGCTAAGAAAGTGGGGCCAAAGCAATTTGTCCCCTCTCAAACTAATTAATAAATGTATTTTTTTTCCTTTTCATTTTGATGTAGAGATATATAGATTCTTCTCACATTCATATAGGCCCTATATGAGATGAATCTAGCTAGCTAGCTACCTCTGATTTCACTCTGCATGATCAATATCTGTGTAAGCAGTATGTTTGTGCAGAAAAAAATGTTCAAGTAAATAAAATATTCAAAATTGGAATATGTGAATTTATGTTCAGATTGATGAATAAAGATAAGTTTCCATATCATGTCAGATTTGACATCAAGTATTTTGACTGATCTAGTGCCTAAAAATTTTTATTGGTCCTTGTGGACTTGAAAATATGTTAGTATGGAATCAAATCAATTAACCTTATTATGGATAAGGTGTATGATATTTTTATTTTTTAAAATCAAGATGTGTTCGTACTAATTTCTAGTAGTAATAATATTTATTTTTATTTAAGAGAATATAAAGATGGTTTTTCATACACACTAATTTGAAATGGTATTGTTGATAAGATAATGTTATTTATTGTATATCTACGAGGGTATTTTAGTAGTTTCATTCTAGTATTTTATCTTTTTTGTGTTCGATCTAGTATTATTTGTTTGTCCTTGTTTATATATTTTATGATTTCTTGTTATATTTGTTTGAATGGGATAGAGTGGTATTTGTAAAAAATACTTGAATGTTTAAATTAATTCTCACAATTAGAGAGATTAATAATAATTAATTATGATAATTATGAAAACGTACATTTTTTATCACTAATTATTATTATTTATACTAATCTTAATGGTCTAAGTTCATAAATCGACTCATAACATGATCCATTAACTACAATAACATTTGAGGTGTTAAGCCATACAGACGATTGTACTTGGTTGAGGATCGATCTCTCAGTTCATTCATGTGCCTACAAGAATGTCAAGAGTGTAAGATCTCTCGGTTGGTCCTTGTGCCTACAAGAATGTCGAGGAATATTTGTGGAGGGATCTTGAGTTATATCTTGTATATATTTATGAATTTTGTTGAAAGATAAGATATATGATATAAGGGTATATAATACAGTTGGCAAGAGTTGATTGTTGATGGCATAGGTACACGTGGGCAGTGTTAGAACACGAGAATGTAGGCTTCGTGGCCAAATTACCATGTTGTAATGTAAAGGATTCGTTGCATGTGGAGTTGGGAGACAAATTAAGCCTAACATGTTAAAATCTCCCTTGTCATTTTATTTGCATGAGGGAAAAAATTAGGCTGTGTTGAACTAGAAATCAGCACTCCACAAACACATTGTATGGACACAAATCATCTTCCAATTATTTTCTGGGATAAGATCTGTCTCATGTTTACACTCATGATAAGCTATGAAAGATCCGTGATTTTCAAACAAGCACGGCCCTTTGCATTTTCTATAATTTTGTGGATCTTCACACAACTTACTTTCAAATCAAACTTTCTTACATTAAGCTCCAACAACATTCTCTACTCCTGTCATGATGCCAGGTTGTAATACATAAAATAAGAGCAATAAATATTCATCAATTTGTCTTTTTTAAAGCCAAAGATTATTCACTATAAAAGGAATGTCGAAAAAATATAATTATTAATTGAAAATTATATATATATATATATATATATATTAATTTGTATTAAGAATAAAATAAGAAAAATATATTTGTAACAATATATAAAGGAGCATTTTTTTAGGTGTCTACTTTTTTGTTAATATTTTTATACATTTTTTTTTGTATATTTCAATTTTTTCACCAGTATATTTTTTAATCATAAAATAAGAGAAAATAAGTACACAATAAGTTAATTGCATACCACCATCAAAATTAATTGCCAATTTTGTTTTCTTTTATTGTAACGAGCATAAGGCTAAGGAGGGGAACCATCCCTCAAAAGTCGGCCCAAGAGGTTGGAGAACCTCCCGCCTTATAAAGCCTCCTTGGTGAGGAGACCTCCCCGATGTGGGACTTGTTACATTACCTCAGTATAAAAGACTTTACACTGGCAATGTAGGGATGATTAACTATATATATATATATTGAAGTTAATGTTTGGAGTAGTTTTTTCTTAGAAAAAGTATGGCAAATAAGGAATAATTTAGAAAATTTTAGTTGACTCAAAATAAAGGTTATCTTATTATATAAAGTTGATAATATTTAGAATAATTTTTTCTCCCAAAAACTTTTTGTCTAGATAAGGAATAATTAAGAAAATTTTCATTTGCTCAAAAATAAGATGCTTTTAAAAAATTCTTTTGAAAGAAACAAACATAATTTGCTCCTTTAAAAAGATGGTAATGTTTACTTTTTAAAATATTTTTTAATATTTATATATTTTTTTAATATTTTTTAATTTTTATAGTTTAAGATAGGTATTTTAAGTTCTTATACTATCAGTTTTTTATTTTATCTTTTTAATCTTTGTCATTAGATTTTTTAATGATGTCTCTTTTATGTTAATATGATAGTTATTAATTTAACTTTGTGTCAGTGTGTATCTTATGTCGAATTTATTTTTGTTGGAGTTACTTTAAATTAAACATTTTGGTATTTCATGTCTTTTTTGTATCTTCAACATGCGATATTCTTGTTGAAACATCCTTTTTTATCTTCACAAAATTGAAGACATTTATTATGCCAATACAAAACACACAACTTTGCAAAAGAAATAACAATAATAATAATAACAACATAAATTAAAAATATTTAAAAAGTTGTAAGTATAGAAACTAAAAAGATTGAAAATAAATAAATATATAGACTAAAAATGTTTATTTTAAATTATAGGAACTAAAAGATAAAATGAGTGAAACAAATTTAATTTCTTATATAAAAATTCAAGTGCTTATTTTGAAAATATGTACTTTAGACATTTCTTATTGTATTAAATAAATATTTGTTTTAAAAGAAATAAATTTCTTTAAATCAATTTTTTTGAATTATGAACTTGTTATATTAAAAAATATTTTTGTTTATATATCAACATCTTAAATTTATTATTCATGGTGTAGCAACAAATTAAGATTTATTTCTAACATTATTAATGATGTATTATCATTTTTCTTACAGGTTCATAATATTTCGAAATGAAGTCAGAATCAATGTTAAAATCATGATTGAGAAAAGACAACATGAAATTAAGATATCAATTAATTAAAAATAATAATTATACATAGTAAAGTCTATATTAATTATAGTTATTCATTTGTTAATGAACTTTTGTTGATTAATTTGTTTCACACTCTATAATATTAATAATGTCTATTAGTATTATTTTAATAGTTTTGCTAATAAATAAATTTGAAACTTAATCATGTTTTGTCACATAAATGGTTAAAATATAGTCATGCTTAATCACACAAAATTTTAATAATATTTTGTTCGTTAATTAGTTGCTATAAGTTTGAAATTCACATTTAACATTGTTTTAATTGTTTTGTTAATAAAAAAATATACAATGATTTTGATATATTGATTAAATAATTATGCATTATAAGTTATAATTGCTTTTTTTTTATCACTTATAATATATTAGATTGTTATAATTTTGATATATCGATAGATTTGAAGGATGCTCTTTAATTTGTTTTAATTATTGTTTCAACTATTTTATTCTAATATAAAACCAATTAGAAGTTAACATATACTTAATTCATCTTTTTCTCATTTTCTTCGATTTTGCTTCTCTTTTTGGTTTTTGAATTCTATTTCTAACTATTAATATAACAAATGAAAGTACAGCATTAAGGGAATTTTCCTCGATCACATAGGATTATTTGGATGGAATAAGGTTTAAAATAAAAATTGTTATTCAACTTTCAACTATACATTATTTTATTAATTTTAACTTTTTAACTTTACTTGGTGTGAAAAAAAATCAACTTTAATTTTTTAAAATAATGATAATAAATATTATTTCTTGACACATAATTTATTTCCATACATGATACAATTACATACACAAACACACACACATAAAATTTCAAATGAAAAACATTTTAAAATGAATAATTAAGACCTATTAATAATAGTCTTTAAATTTTAAATAAAATTAATTATCAACCGAGATTAAAACTCAATTATAAATATATACTATATGATTATTGTTATCATCATTTTTTATGAATATTATAATCATTCACTTTTATCACCAACCATCATTAATGTTGTACCACCTTTGCTGTCAATTATTATCATATCTACCACTCTAATTGGCATAGTCTCAATACCATCATCACCACTCCAATACCGTCCTTCCACCACCACCATTGTCGCATTAGTAGGTGAGAGTGATAGTGGTAGTCGTGAATGTAATAATAGTAATGATAATCTCGTAAGCATTTTATTAGAGTTTTAAGTTCAATCATTAATTATTTTTATTTATTATTAGGTTAAAAGAGGATCTTAAATCCCTCAAGCTTTTAAAGTTTTAATGATAATAAAAAGAACATTTTTCTAAGAGAAAATATTTTTAAGAAATACAAATTAAACAATCTGTAAGATGAAAATATATATTATGTTTCAATTTTTCTTCTTTTAGGAGTGATTTCATGAGAATACCCCCTTATTACTATTGTGCTACATTGTGTTAATTTTATGCTTCTTATTTTATAGACTCAGTACCTTATGCTAGAAATATAAATTTAGTTTATATTTATAACTTGCATATTCATTTCTTGATTTGATTTACATGCTTTGTTAATAAAAATAAGATCTTCTAAAAACTAGTATTATATATATATATATATATATATATATAGATATATACATACATGTATGTATCTATACACAACAAATAAAAAAAATAATTTACGAGAATAATAGTGGTTCAAAAATTTGTTGACGTACACAATTAAAAAATAAATGTTAAAATAAAAATGACAATGATGAGGTTAAATAACCCCTTCCACAAATATTTTATAGTAATTAACTCTCAATAATTAATGGGAGTTAAAAATTATAGACAAGTGTAGCACCATATTAGTTTTTTAAAAATTTGTTAGGATTATTAACCTCTTTTATTTAATAGAAATCTCATCTAACTGTCAAAGGTTTATAAACTGCGAGGAATCAACTAGGGTTCTAAAACCTCGGTCAATTAGTTGAGGTTTTAAAACCATTGGTAATTAACTAGGGTTTCAAAATTGTTAGTAATTAACAAGGTTTTAAAGCGGCTGGTAATTAACCGGGGTTATAAAACC